GATTCTGGCCAACTCCAATGCAACACTGCACCTGCCAATGGAAGAGACACCCAGAGATTGCAGGGATTAATGACAGGCCATAGAGATCTCAAATCACAGAATCACAAAATGGCATGGGTTGGAAGGGACCTCAAGGATGATGAAGCTCCGACCCCCCTGCCACAGGCAGGGTCACCAACCTCCACATTTCATACCAGCCCAGGCTGCCCAGGGCGCCATCCAACCTGGCCTTGAACACCTCCAGGGATGGACGGGGCATCCACAGCCTCTCTGGGCAGCTGTTCCAGCACCTCACCACTCTCTCTGTAAAGAACTTCCCCCCAAAACCCAACCTAAATCTTCCCTCCTTCAACTTAAAAACATTCTCCTTGTCCTGCTGTTATCTACCTTTACAAAGAGTTGACTCCCCTCCTGTTTGTAGGCTCCCTTTAGGTCCTGGAAGGCTGCAATGAGGACACCCCACAGCCTTCTTTTCTCCAGGCTGAACAAGCCCAGCTTCCTCAGCCTGTCTTCGTAGGGGAGGTGCTCCAGCCTTCTGATCATCCTTTGGCCCTCCTCTGGACCCTCTCCAACAGCTCCCAAACATGCAACTGCTTTCTTTGGGTCCAATATGACACAGCCATAGAATGCTTTGTGCAAGATGACTTTGCTCGTCCAGTTCTGGAGAGGAAGAAAATAATTCTGCCTGCAAGCTGCTCCAATATGTCTACGTGCAACTTAAAGCCATCTCCTGCCTAGGCTTTACATTCAGTAAATGTTAAGCTTGATTTTTAAAATAAATTGAAGCACTGCCATAACGGTTTGCCTAAAGCTAGCAATTGCTTTTATATATCTTACAGCTTCAGATCAGCCTCAGTGGAGAACTTACACATCTGCATATGACTTACAAGGGAGCCTCATAAAGCCTTCCCCAAAAGGCAGTAACTACTCTAAACGTTTCCCCCGGAGGAAGAATTATCTAAAGAAATATTTAAAGGAACAGGGAGATTCAGACTCCCATAGAGAGATAATTTTGTCTATCTATTCAAAGAAGATTCGTGACATGGGTTCAGCTGGCAATGCTGCTGCTGACTTGGTCAGTCTTCACAGAGATGAAGACACCTGCAAAGCACTTTTTCAGACCCCATGTTGCTGAAAACCAATTGAAACACAAGGACCAGAGCCACAGTTGGTGTCTCTAAAGCCACACTTGTCCTCAAGTGGGAAAAATCCAATTGATCAGCCAGCCCTACTCCTTAATGGCTTTTGATCGCTGGAAGCCAGACTGAAAAGACAGCTAATTTGTTTACACTAATAAATAATAACACCCACTTGCTATCAAAGCATGCGCTCATCTTGACTGGTGAGCCATTGAAATGCCACTCACTGCGACCATCCTTCTTCTTAACACCCAGTAATCTGACAGGGAGAAAACATGCCAAAGCCACCAGCAACGCTTCCTTAGAAAGTCACTAGCAATGACTTTGTGCGTGGGGGTAAGCAGTGCTAGCAGTGGAGTAATTAGCTCCAGCAAGCAATTATCCTGCAAACAGCTGCATGCTCTGACTTCTGAAGGAGTTTTTTACTTGATTTTCAGCCACTGGAGCTTTGCCAGAAAACCATCAGGCCCGTCATCGACATAATTCTTCTATAAGAAAACAGCAGTCACACTGATACTTTAAGGGAAAATCCTGCCCTGCTGGTGGAAAGATGGAAGCCACATGCATTTCACGTTGGATGGAAATGGGGTGATGCATCTTCAAGGCCACCATTCGTAGCGATCACCTGGCTGGAAAGATTGATCACGCTGACATGAAACATACAAGAACAGGCTATAGGAAGCTGTCGAGCTGTTTGCAGCCTAATTTAGTATTGATTTAAGCAATTACAGCATAAAGTTTAACGTGGAATAATTCTGAAACAAATTAGTTTCACGGTTATTCAGTCACTCTGACTAAAAGGAGATGAATTTACAATATTTCACATTTACGGCTGGAAGAATGGAAACAAGACCATCCTCCTCGTTAAATGCACTATTTACTATGGGCAGCTGCAATCTTTTCTTAGCATAATCTTTAAAGAATTGGATTTGTCTGAGGATATGGTGGCATAAGATACTAGAAAACCTCTCATCTGAAAGCTAATTCAGGTCAAACACGTAGTGATAGTTATCACCAAGAAGTTATTATCACTCTGTGTGGTGGGAGCTGATAAATGCTTGAGTCGTGTTCACATCACAGCAGTGGCTCCTGCTGCAGGAGCTTCAGAAAGATCTTCAGGATAGAAAGGAGTGGTTGAACCATGGATGACACAAGGGAGAAAAAGGTAACACAGCTTAAGGAGAGAGGTGCAAGGATGATTCACACCGCACACCCTGTTTTCTTTACATCTGTGATTTGGGCATCCATGATCTCTGGGCAGCCTGGTCTGGTGGTTGGCAACCTTGCCTGTGGCAGGGGGGTTGAAATTAGATGATCTTTGAGGTCCTTTTCAACCCAGGCCATTCTATGATTCTATGATGTGATGAGGGCAAAGATTCCAGGCTCCAGCACTGTCAGTGTAAGAACAGCCCTTCTCCTTTTAATGCAAAATCAATACAATTATTTTAGGGAGCTATTTGGATGACTTGGTTCAAAGAGGCAGCCATTTTTCTTCTCTTGCACAGAATTACCCTTCTGTAATGCTGGGAACAGGCAGACCTTCTGACCGTGTAAACTCTGACCAAGAATAATTCCAGTTCATAATGATTTCCATCCATCATGCGAAATAAATTACAGGGGCTAGACAAGAAAATTCCAAGCCATTCTGTCTCTTCAACCCCAAATGAACTTTACGAAAATGCTTTGCTATTATATAACGCATTTTCATGGCTACCAACAAGTCACAACACACAGAAATACATTACTGCATTAAGAATCCAAAACAAATTGGTAAGGTTAACAACCTCCGTGGTCCTGCTCCAAAGCTTGTGTGTTAATGCTACTGTAAAACATTTTCAGCTCTCAGTAAGGTCAGCTGCCTGTGCAGGCTGAGTTCAGGCTCTCACTCACTTTAATTCCCAGAAGAGAAAACAAAAGGAAAGCAAACAATACACAATGCAACACAATATACCTAATTATCTCCAGATCTCTCAACGTGAACCTTAACCAACATCCTCAATGGAGCCCTTGAACCGTGGAAGAGTAGAGTTCTGATTTTAATTGTAACAAAGAGTTTCAATCTTCAGACACTTCTGCTGTGAAAGCCAGAACGACTCTAAAACATACTTTTTTTCTTACCCTTTTCCAAAAAATCAAAGTTTGGCAGATTTCTGCATGTGTTGCAGATTTGGCCTATTTCTCTTCTCTAAGGTACTCACAATGTTGAGGAATTACTGGCAAATAACTGCAAAACAAGGGCACATTTTGTAGTTTCTTCCCCACTCTCTGCTGTTATCGCTCAACTGATGCACTCAAGTTCATCTATAAAACTCCTTCTGTTCTCATTAAAGTTGCTTTCAATACTCAGCTGTTTTTTCATAACCACCCCTGCTGTGGTTCTGCTATAACATCTCATACCTGATTGGCAATACTTCAGCAGTGCCAAGGGAGGAGAAAAAAACAAATGCCACCAACTCCATCTTCTTAAGCTTAAAAGAGGGCTCAATGTGAGATACCCAGCCATAAAGTGCTCTTGGGGCCATGCCCTGTTCTCAACTTGTGCTCAGTGAAACCATTTTTATGTTGGTAATTATTTACAAAGAGCTTTATTCCTCCGCTCCTCAGTTTTGATATCGGAGTTTCAGAGGAGGCTGTTAAAGCTCTGTCTTGGCAAGAATGAAGTCCAGGGATGCTGTGCTTCTCCAAAACTTCGTTTTAACTCATGGAGATTTTCTAAACCACGTATAGAACCCCTTCTAAGGAGCCTGATCCCTTTTAAAGGCTTGGAATCTAATTTTGCTTTGCCACTGTAAAAAACATCCCATACCCAAAACCAAAGCACCCAGACAGGTGCAGCTTTAGTAACCATTAATACATGCAGAAAACCCAGCGACTTCACCCAAATAAAGATGAGAACAGGAAATGCTACTAGTATGCATCATTAAAACAGACATGCATTTTTAGAGATATAAACTAAGGTTGAAATAAGCCATAAAAACCTTGGGAGATACACATTACTGCCTAAGAACTTTGCAAATATTATTCATTCCCAAAGAGACGATTTTATAGATAAGAGGGAATTATTGAAAAGGATTAAAAGATCTTGACCCTAATCACAGCAAGAGTCTGTTAATTCATTCTTTTCAGTCCCATGCAACAAGTATAATATCAGGATGTTTTTCTGAGGCTTCTGAACTGTCCCATTACCCATGTAGTTAGGATGAGATGTGTGTTTATTGCTATTATCACTGCTTCACATCAGAGCTTTAAAAAGCTGTTTCATAAGAGACTTCTCATAGAAATACTCTTAACTTCAAAGCCAAATCTCTCAAATCTCTCTTATCTGGCTGAGGTAGCAGTACAGCTGCCTTGCTGCGACAGCACCATAGAATCACAAACACACTGCACTAGGGAGGCAAAACATCTCATATCTGCTCCTCCTTTGGAGTTTGGCACACGTGTGTAGTTTAACTGCACCACCCTATGATTTGCAAGCACTCCCAGAACTCCCAGACAAGCATCATCAAATCCCTTGAAAATCAGCTTTTACAGTAGGGCTTTAATTTGTCATCACAGTGGCTACTGGGTGCTTTAATAATTGGTATGGTCCTGAATGCTTCCAGGGAGGGGGCATCCACAACCTCACTGGGCAACCTGTTCCAGTGTCTCACCACCCTCATAGTAAAGAACTTCTTCCTGATATCTAGTCTAGATCTATACTCTTCCAGTTTAAAGCCATTTCCCCTGGTCCTGTTGCTACCCACTCTTCTCAAAAGTCCCTCCCCAGCTTCCCTGTAGGCCCCCTTCAGGTATGACCCAGGACTTGATATCATCATTAGGTGGGCAGTAAGGGAAGCTGCTGGCAGCTCACCCAATTCCTACCTGCAGAAGAGGCCTCTGCACACCCAGGACCTTCATGGTATCTGCATTAGCCAATAACTTCAAGGGGTCAGATGCCTTCGTGACTCCTTCGATTTCTTTATTGATCTCAGCCAGGACCTGATTGAGGAAGATGTTCTTGATGTACATGGTGAGGAACTCACGGAGAGGACACTGTTTGGTTGGGCCAAGCTCCATGGCGTGCTCTATCTCCTTGATGAATCTGGAAAACAAGAAACAAAGCATTCAGTGGAGTTAAACCATGCAGTTAAATGCGTGACGGTTGCATTTGAGATTCCTACACCCAAAAACCAAGCACCAGTAGTGGGGAAGACGAGACAGTCTATGACATGAAGTGTGAAGAGTAGAAAAGATTTATAGGGTGGCCTTCCAAAAAACATAAAATGCCAACAGATGGTGAGACAGACTTGATGGCTGGAGAAGGAGAACAGACAACATGGGGAACTGGTGAGAATCTACAACCCAGGCACGATTTTTGTTTTTCAGCCCCCAAAATGACTGATTTTCCTCTACTTGAGACATACTGGAAAGGCCTTTTCTTTTAAACAAAATCAGGATGTCAGAAATCACTTTGAGAAGGCAAACTTCTGGGGTTGGTCACTTGATTCATACAGGTTAATTCCCCACCTCTAAAACGAACAGACGTATTTAATAGCTCCAAGACTAGAGATACCATAAAATAATAATAAAAAAAAGCAATGGAATAAATGCCGATATCATACTGCATTATGCATGTCTGTATTATGCTATATTTTTATTATGTGTTATTGTGTCATTCTAGGATCCCATTCCCATCTACGCAGAATGACATACCAATTCTGGGAATATTTTAGCACAGAATGTTTGCCATCTCCTCCTGCAAAATATCTTCATCTCAATGATGCCATCTGTTTACCAGATAGGAGTTTCTTCTAGAAACTACCTCGTCATTTCTTTCATTTACATTCGAGGCAACAAAATTAGTATTCCTTTCAAATTCGTATATATTTACATAATTAGGTGTTGAATAGCAGGGTCATAATGGACTAAGATGTTCTATCCTAAAGACAGAAATATGGATGGTATTTGCATTGCCCTTCCCATCACTTCGTGCAGGCGCCTCACAGACTTTTGAATCTCAATTCTACTCCTGGATGAGCTGGAATTGTTTTTTTCTTTGTTTAATAGATCAGGAATAGAACAAGTGTTTGAACTTGGATCCCCCAACACACACAGCAACCCAGCACACCACCATTTCTTCACTAAGAAAGATCTTTTTTTGTCAATGTGTATTTCAACAGTTCCATACTGGTCAGCATTTACAAAGGATGAATTTGCACTAACCATTTTTTTCCCCACACACTTCAGTGAGGTCTGTTTCTGCACACCCAAAACTTCCCACCTCCTCGTTCAGCTCTCCAAGAGGAGGCAGCTTCCCTTCAGAACTCCTGTCAATTTCAGTAGCATGATTTCCTTCAAACCCAAACAATTTCCTCCCTAATGCCCCTGCAGCATTGACTCCATCAGAGCACAGTGACACATTTGGGATGATGCAGCTGTTGCTTCTGCGGAGGGAACCATTTGCACTAAGTTTGAAAAGTGCTTCTCTAAAGAGACATACTGCACAGGGAGAAGTGCAAAGGATGGCAGCTTTACTCCCCAGCTTTCACGGATCGATAGAGTGAATAGGCTTTATCAAAGAGGGAAACTGGAGAATCATCTGGGAAGAGAGCACAGGGACCACCGCCGAGCTTATCTCTGAAATAATAGATTTAATGTCACCAGTTCCAAGTGACAACCACCAATGCCCTTAAGAGAATGCTGTCAAGTTGATGGAACCTCATTCAACTGACTGACGTACTGCGTTTTTCCACGTCTGCCAACAAACCTGCAATGTTCTCCTATTTTTTTTAAAGCCTTATTTACACAGTGCTCGTGATGGACAGCATCACACACACACAAAAAAGTGAATTAGCTCTTATAATACCTGCACCTTACAACTACATACCATTATCTCTCTTTCAGATGGGAAAGGGGAGACAAAGCAACTTGATCCATTCAGTATATGAGGAAGGATGCTGTGAGAAAGAGTGGGACAGACTCTTCAGCAGAGTCTATTGTGACAGGACAAGGGGAAATGGTTTCAAACTAAAAGAAGGGAGATTTAGACTGGGCATAAGGAAAAAAGTTCTTTACAATAATGATGGAGAGGCACTGGAACAGGCTGCTCAGAGATGTGGTGGATGCCCCATCCTTGGAGACACACAAGGTCAGGATGGATGGGGCTCTGAGCAACCTGATCTGACTGTATGTAGGTGCCCCTGTTCACTGCAAGGAGTTGGACTACGTGATCTTTAAGGTCTTTTCCAACTCAAATGATTCTATGAATTTCAGCTTTCAGTGAAATGAAGGGAACAGCTCTCAATTCTGTAACCCAGCACGTGTTTAAACATGGCTGAACTAACAGAAACACAAGAAAACTTTCGGAAGAACGGCCCCATACTAACTAGAAGAGCTCAGATTTGCTGATCTACACTCAACTTCTTATCAGGCAGTGGTGTGAAGCTGTTTCTAAGTGTTTCCCACAGCAGAGACTAAATTGCTTGTATGAGGCCACAGGAAAGGTCAGTGCTAGCAAAAGGTGTAATCAAGAATGTTGGTCTCCTTGTACCCAGCATTAATCACCATCTCAGGCCTCCCCTAAAGACCCACGGTTCAATCTCCAGCAAATTTCATCTTCATTAGAGAACTGAATTCTGGTGGTTCACGTGTTCTAAAAGGCTTTAATTTCTTGGCATAAACAAGACAACAGCAGTTACTTAATACCAGCAAGGATTCAAAAGATACCCTTATTTTACTTGATACAAACCATCAAGTAATCACAGATTAGGAGAAAGCTGCTAGATAGCAATGACTCTGTGAGAGGGATTTTATGAGTGCTCAGCAACACTTGTGATAAAGAACAAATGGTCAACAGCTTAAGAAAGCAGATTCAAACTTGATAGCAGGGAAAAGTTATTAAGAATGAAACTGTGCGTGGTGTGGAGGACAAGAGGATGTGGATGAGTGACCTTAGGCTTGAGTGTTTAAAGATAGCTTGATTAAATGATAATGGTAATGAAAAACAGATAATTTCTGAAGTCTTCATTTAATCGAAGGATCTCTACTGAAGGAAATGGAAAATGAGAGAAAAATGTAGTATGGATGTCAGAGCTACCCTTACATAGGGAGCACAGGCTGTGTGCTATATGCTAAAGAATAAGGCTGACCTGTCCTCATCATGTCTTCACCAGGCAGAAGTCCTAACTGCTGGAGGTCCCAGCATCTGCTCAGCAATTGTAGAACTCCAGGTAGCAGTTGTGCAGCTCAGCCTTCATCCCAGAAAGGGGAAAAGCCCTTTGAACACACCACCATGGTGGCTGAGCAAGCATCACAAGGCTTCAAATGAAAACGCACCAAGAATCCTCTGACCACATTACATTGCAGCACTGATAGATAGTACAGGCTCTGTATCAGCAGGAATACTCAGAATGCCATTAGAAATAAATGAAACTGATAGAAACATAAATAATAAAACATTCATTTCATGCATGCCTTAGGAGAATTAAGAATGCAAAGTCAAAAACTGAAGAGTTTGGGAAAGAAAGGATTGAAGTCGCTTGTGTCACCTTTATTTGCCTGCTGTGCACAATGCCATGGAACAATTATTAAATACATAATAGCACTGTTGCTCTTTTCAGCAGATCCTGATCTTGTCTGAGGACAAAGACTTGGTTCAAAACACACTGCAAGGGAAGGAAGTCCTTAGCTCAGGAGCAGGCACATTTCCAAGATCCTTGTCCTTAGCTTAGTCCCCTTTATAGGCAGAACTGTGCCTATGAGGGGCTTCACCCATTACAAACCAGAAGCCTTTTACAAAGCTGTGAGCACTGCAGTTCTTCAGAGCTGTGTGACTGAGCCAAATTTTTGGTGTATTTTCAGAGAAATGGCAAAAAGGCACAACCTCAACACAACAGTTCTTATTGAGAACTGTGAAGATGCAAATTCTCAGCCTGAATATGTTCCAAAGAAGAGGTCACCAGAATTTGCTAACACGTGCAATGTATTTCTTCTTCTCCTCCTCAAAAAGAGTATTTTAGATAATTTTCTATAAATAAATCTAGCCTCAGTTGGCAATTAAGTTTTATAAATGAGAAGCATTGGGTGGCATGAAAGACCTAACAGATATTCTCTATTTTCTGCTTTGAGGACACATTCACAGTCACACACTGTACTATTGATTTAATTTCTGGTTAACTTATTCTAACAAAAGTCAGTCTTTGTACACAATAAATATGTTTAACAGTCATCTAAGAGAAATATTCTAAAAGTACCCTCCAAAAATGTTCCCATTTTACTATACCCACATAACTATTAAGATGTCAGAAAAGCCATTTGACCCATGGCTATCCCAGAGATCAACATTTATGTCTGTGTGTGAACCAGCATGCATGAACAGAAATTGCATTTTGGCCAATGATAGAGTACGTAAAAATAAGGACAATGAAAACTTGTAGGTAGATCTGGACGTTTTATGCACGCACAGTTCTTCAAATGGGTTTTGGACATGGCTGTGTGTGCATAACCCCAAGAATCCAAATTTCCACTGCTATGGTGAAAGGCTGCATCATGTTGGCCTTTTATCCTGTACTATTTTTTTTTTTTTTTACCCTCTAAAGAAAGAAACCTGAGATACAGCTCACTGTAAAAACAGGCCATAAAGAAGGCCTTGGAGCTTTGATTCACATCCCATTTGCTTTGATTATTCTACTAGAAGAAGAATCATTCAGTTGTAATTTAGTAGGGTTTCTGAAACAGTATCAACAACCGCATTTAAAATCATCACTCACTGACTTAAGAAAAAGCCTATAAAGGTTAACATACTGTGGGGTACAAGCTCTAAATGTGTGAGAATGAGCCCCAAATGGCACGTTTGGAATAGAAAATTCCCCTAATGCTGAGCAATTACATGTATTTATCGTAACTATAGCAGATTTCAAACCTACAAAATGGGAAGATGCTTTCTCTGGACAAAAACACAGCCTGAGGTGTGTCACCACAGTTTGGATAACGAGCACTATGAAGATGGCCATGATAACTATTTTGGTTCCTAACAAAGGTTGTTGGGATGTCCCAAAGGATGCTTCTGCAAGATGTCTTGCTAGGATGGAGCACACAAGGAAA